GCTAAGAAAACATAGAGGAGAGAGGGATTGCTATCTAAGATGAGGTAGGGCATCAAAAAACTGGGGAATGTTGGCTTTTAAGATGAAGCCTTAGGAGGAGATTAGGAGTAAGCCTGTTGACCAAAGATGTGAAAAGACATTTCATCCAGAGTGCTCTGAATATAGGACATCCAGAGGAGAGAGAAATTGAAATTCATGCCCCGCAGATATGACCAAAGTCTGTTATTAGGATGGAGTAGGATTGCAGGTGCTAAAATGGCAGACAGAGCGCTTAGCATCAAAGATACAATTACCATATCATAGGTGTAACCTTGAAAATTTTAAACAGTGAATTGACAAGATTCACAAATGTGGAGGAAAGACTAGCAGCAAGGAGGCAGTAATTCATGTAAGAAATGATAAACACATGAAACAAGGAGAGAGAGAGCAAAGTAGACAGATAAAAATGGTGGAAAGGAGGTAAAATTCACAGGAATGCTGATTTAGATATGAAAGCACAATGAGGAGTCATGAATAAATTCCAGGTTTCTGGGTTGGGCAGTGCATGAATTGTGATGCTGTTCACAGAGGTAAGTAATAAGAGAATTGTGTGTTAGAGATAAGATGGTGACTTCAGACTGGGATATGTGTTGGATATGTGTTTGGTTAGGATACCCATGTGGCAATGGCAGATTCAGTCTGGAGCTCAGGAGCAGAGCCTGGCCTAGAGAGACAGATTCAGCAGCCATTGGTGTGTTGACAATAAAGTTAAGAGAGTAGGTGAGATCATTTAGGCATGGTGTTTAATGTAGTGAAAAGGGAAAAGCATTGAGAATAGAAGCCTTTGAAATACATACTTTTAAGTGCTAGAAAAATAAAAGGTGTCCAAATAACTGTTGACTTTTGCCAAAGCTATTTTGTTAGAAGGGACAGACAGAACAAAATTGCAATGATTTAAAGAGAGAATTGGAAGTAAAGAATTCTCTACGGTAAATCTTAGGACATAGATGGAAATTAATACTGAAAGTAAAGTTACCAGTAGCACAAACTGTTACCATGTCACCTGAGTAGACCAGCTATTACAAAGTCTTATAACTTCCTTGAAGAGTTCTTAAGATTGTTCATAAGAGTTTGTAAGATTGAATAATTCATTTAGATTTCGTTAATCAGTAACAGGCAGGAAACTACAGATGTTACAAATTTCTGTAGGTGTAAAACCACAAGAAGAATTGTTCTCTCTCCTCTCAAAATTGTCATGCAACATTACTGATGTTATCAATAACTTTAATAACTGTTTAGAAGCTAAGTTATAAACCTTCTAAGTAATGTAGACCCTATTATAAGAGTTTGCTGTTCCATTCAGTAAATACAACTTTTCTTAGAAGAAACCAATGCAACACTTTTGTAACACATCTTTCAGTAGTAATCTAAAGCTTCTAAGCAAACTGTGCTGGTCCGGTACTTATCTAGGGGGAAGTAAGCATCTCCAAGAAGCAATTTATGTCCATGTGAATTGACCAAAAATTATAATCTCTGCTGGTTTCCAAGATTCTAAGAGAAATTGATATTTCAAACAACAATTTCAATTTTCTGTGCAATTTCAGAACAAATTTCAGTACAAAATCATAAATTTCACTTATAATTTTCAGTAATAAAGTTCAAGCAAATGGGACACTCACACTTTCATGTCACCTTCTTTGGATACTCTGCCAGAGGTCACTTCCTTCAGATTATATTTTAGCCAATTTACTTTGTTTAGGTTTCCAATTTTGCCATCTTGTAGAGTGAGTTTATGAAATTTAACCCATATTTCATAATCAAATACATAAAAATTTAGAGAAAAAGAACTTTAAGTTTCTCTGTATCAGGATAGATTATTAAAAGTAATTTTCAGGAGATTTGGGGGGGAATAAACACACAGTCTTACTTCAGTAACATACCAACAGTGATCTTTCAGCAAAAATTACTTATTTCCCAACCCATGTTTTCTCATCTCTAAAGTGAGAATAATTTCTACTTTGTAAGGTTGGTCTTGAGCAGTGAATAAGGTAACTGCCTAGCCCTGCATAATGATTTTGTTTCTCCAAGTTAATAGTCAATGCTGAGATTACCAAATTTTGATGATTCTGTGTTCTAAATTGGTGTTTACATGTAAGTTGTTTTTTATATGGGTTGAACTATATGAACTAGACTTTTGTAAATCAGAAAGAAATGATTCTGCCCCGTTGATTTTAATTCCATGCAGTGATGGCATATCATGAGTTCAGCAAGTTGAAATAATAACTGTAACTAATGTTGTGTGTATTCCATTAGATCTTGTATCCTGCAGCCTTGCTGATTCATTTATTCTAGTACTTTTCTTTGTAGATTCCATCGGGTTTTCTACATAGACTGTGCTATCTGTGGATAAAGACAATTTTATTTGCTTTTCTACCTAGATGCCTGTTTTTCCTTGTTTTATTGCACTGACTAGAATTTGAAATACAGTGTTGAATAGAAGTGATGAGAGCAGACATCTTTGTCTTGTTTCTGATCTTAGGAGGAAAGTATTCACTCTTTCACCATTAAGTATGATGTTAGCTATAAAGTTTTCCAGTTGAGGCAGTTCTCTTCTACTCCTACATAAGATGTTGGATTTTGTAAAATACTTGTTCTGCATTTATTGAGATAATCTTGTTTTTCTTTTTTTGGTCAAATGTCAAATTAATCTTGCATTCCCAGGATAATTGTACTTGGTTATAATATATTTATCCTTTTTATCTATTTTTGGATTCTATTTGCCAAAATTTGTTGAGAATTTTTTTCATCTATGCCCAGTTAAGATTATTGGTCTATAGTTTTCTTTCCTTGTAATGTCTCTTTCTAGTTTTTGTTACTAGAGTAATTCTTGCAAATAGAATGAATTGAGAAGGATTCTTTCTGTTTCAACTTACTGAAGGAGTTTGAGTAGAATTGGTATTATTCTTTTCATTAACTGGTGGAATTCACTAGTGAAGCCATCTGGGCCTGCTGTTTTCTTTGTGGGAGGTTTTTATTTACTAATTTAATTTTTTATAAATATAGTACTATTCAGGTTCTTTATTTATGAGTGTGCCTCGGTAGTTTGAATCTTTTGAGAAATTTGTCCATTTAATCTAAGTTGTCTAATTTATTGGCAGAAATTTGTTCATAATATTTCCTTATACCTTTAAACTGTGGGGAATCTGTATTGATGTCACCTCTCTTATTCATGATACTGGTAATTTGTGTCTTTTTATCTTGATCAATTTGGTTATATGCTTGCCAACTTTATTGATTTTGTTCTCTTAATGAGGATCAGAATAAGGTGAAGGAGTATGCACTATAAAGGTCTAGGAAAAGGTGGAGGGAACTACCTTTGCACAGTCCCTAGAAGGGGAAGAACGTGGCATTTTCATAGAGAATAAACTGAGTGGTCAAGAGCAGAAGCATGGAGAGCAATTATGAGGCTATTGCCATAATATAGGTCAGAAGAAAGATGATGATGGCTTAGACTGCTTACAGTGGCTAACAAGATGGTGCAAAGTGGTTAGATTCAGAACATACTAATGAAGGTAGAGCCAGTAGGACCAGATGATGACTTGTGTATGACTCCATATACAAAAGGCATAAATGGAGTCATGGAGAAGAGTCACAAATTATGCTTAGTCATAGGCCTGAGTTTATGTGGTTAATGGTAGCTTTGTGAAATAGGGAAGATTAGAAGGACCAGATTTGGGCTGTTACAGGAAGGTGAGATGAAGAAAAGGCATCAAGAGGTCTAATTTAAACCTAGTGGAGAATTTGAATGACTAGTTCACTCATAATTTTTTTCTATTGTATGTATTTTCCATGTTTTCTTAAGTTATCCAGGCAATTCACTCTTTACTTTGTAAAGATTGTCTAAAGAAGCCACTATGTTAGAGATGTTCAGGATAGAAGAGGCAATGCTTGACAGCTACCTTAGCATATAATTTCCAATAAAACATTGAAATTTTAATATGCTAGGAAATAGAAGAAAGAGAGAAGTGTGTGAATCTTTTTGTGCTAAAGACATTAGTGTGAAGTGATCAGATTCAGGATATACCTTATGTTAACAAACCTTGTAGAGAAATTTATAGGTCATGTATGTAATGTGAGTAACCAAGGTGAACTTCCTTAATCAGATTAAAACAGAATTCTGAAGTTATTTAATTTGTTGTTCTTTTGTGAAATTCTTTGTATATAAATTAGATATTTGAGGCAACTCAGGAAGATTGAGCCCAGGATCCCAGACCTCCTTTAAAACAGTCCATGATACTAAGTTCAGCCCACGTAGAACTAATAGAATCTTTCTGCTGTCCTTTGTAATAGAACCAGAAGCTGACTAACTTCCAGAAGGAGAGGGATTGAATCTCTATTTCGAGAAATGATACACTAGAGGGGAACCACTGTGCTTTCTCAGAAAATAGTCTCCGAGAGTCTGGCTAAACTATTAAACTATCTCTTTCTTGATTAGAGTAAGACTCCAAGTCAGGGTAAAATTCTTTCAGGCTTAAACTAAAATAGAATCATAATGGACGACATTAAGAAATAAGAGAACATTTTAAACTTTTATTTTTATTAAATGTAATAAAATATAATAAGCATTTAAGTATGAGCCATTAATGCTGAGGGGACAGGGACCTTATTTGTGTCATTCATCACTATATTCCCAGAATAAGCATTGTAGGTACTCTGATAGTTTTCTGTATGAATATGTAAATTCATGAAAGTTCATATTAGAAAGTATGGCCTATTTAGTGATTTTTTTAAACACATCTCTTCACTAGAGGGTGCTGTGTAAGCATTCAATACTTTAAAAGTACCTTCTACACATTTATTTGCTGGGAAATTGGATTTTTAAATCATCTGATTTATTAAAAGCTTTCATTTCCTTTGCTTTCAAAACAATACTTTGGTATTAGATATGGTAAAATTCATGAAACTGAGTAGCTGTTAATGGCAGCATTAACACAGATGTTTCTTTTCTTCCTCCGCTTCAGGAGACTTATGACTCCAATCATGTATGCTGCCCGAGATGGTCACCCTCAGGTTGTTGCTCTCCTTGTTGCTCATGGAGCGGAAGTTAATATCCAGGATGAGAATGGTTATACTGTGAGAACTGATTGCACAATGTTCCTTTTTATATCTTGTCATTATTAGTAGTCCACAAAAAAGTTTTTGAGAAATAAAAATTACAGAGGGACTGGGTTATAATTGCTGTTTGGTGAAGAAAACAGCTGAAATGGAAAAAAAGGAATGAACTTTTTTCTTTTTTCCTCACCCTTGACACAAGAAGCTATAACGTACAACAAAGCCTGGGTTCTAGAATACACACAGAATTTGTTTTTATAGAAAACAGTTCAGTGATTAGCAGATAAATTATTTCATTCTATAACATCACTTGACTATGTAAAACATTATTTGATTTTATAAAATCAGTGAGCAATGGCAGTCTGCTTTGCAATTACAACTTTGGAAATTTATTTACATTATACTGTAAAATGAAGAGATTGCCTCATTCTGTTAATTAACCATGTTCACTCTTTTATTGTGCCATAGATACTTTTGAAAAGTTTTCCTTTCTGTCTCATATACACTCCCTCTCTTGAAACAATCTTCTTTTCCCCTCACTTACAGGCTTTAACATGGGCAGCACGTCAGGGTCATAAAAATGTAGTTTTGAAGTTGCTTGAACTTGGTGCTAATAAAATGCTACAAACCAAAGATGGAAAGACACCAAGTGAGATTGCAAAAAGAAATAAACATCTAGAGGTATCCTATATATTAATTTTTCTATGGCATGTTATATTATTATTTCAGAACTTTTGTAATATTTTGTTAGAACTTAACAACTGTCATAATAGTGTATCTGGCTATTATTAAATGTTTATGTAATTTTCCTCTGGCCAGGTAATGAAAACTTTATTTTACTAGAGTATTCACTTTTACTAAATAAGAGGCATTTATAATGTGGTAATTTAAAAGCTATATAAGGAAATAATAAAGTCTTATTCTGGCCCTAGAAATAAAATTGTAATAGACCATTTAACAATTCAAACTGGTCCAGACTTTTAAAAATTAACTAGTGTTTTGAGAAAGCTAGTAAAAAGCCAAAATTTGAACATTAAAATGTTGTTTTTTAATTTTAATTAATACATAGTAAACATTTTAAAAATCAAATCCTTTAAGCTACATTACTCCTATACATGTAACAAGGCATATAATAAAGTGATAACATACTTGGGTAGATGATCTACTGTCATTTACATATTAAAGTCAATAATAAATATTTGCCATACATTAAATCACTTTATTGATACAAACTTTTAGTCTGAGTATTAAAGCTTTTGACCAAAGACCTGTAATTTCTAAGCAAGGATCAAATACAGTACAACTGTAAAACTAACATATAGTTCAAGAGCTTCTAAACCTGAGTTTCTGAATTTAAAAGCATGGTAACATTCAAAAAGTTCCATCACATAATCAGACCATGCCACTTTTACTGCATGGAAAATAACTTTCTCTATATTTTAAGCAATCTGATAAATATGCCTTTCATTTTCTAACTCAAATCTGCACTTCCAAAATTATTCTAGAATATTTACTAATTACTAATGCCCTAGGAAACTTCAAAAAGAAATTTACCATTTTTCTTCTAAGCTTTGAAAATTTGGAAACTTTTAATTAGTCTACTGCAGTATTAAATTTAGGGTAGATGACACTGAATTTGACATGAGAAATTTATGAACATCAAAGATTATTTTGTGTAATAAATTGTTTTTTAAAGAGACTTGATTTTGTGTTCTGGCTGATTATGTGACATAATCCTGACTTATTAAAAAGTTAGATTCTAAGTGTAAGTGATAGTATATAATAATGTTGACTATATTTGAATGGCTTGTTAACTTTTTGCAGATCTTCAATTTTCTTTCTTTAACTTTAAATCCATTGGAGGGAAAGCTTCAACAGCTAACTAAAGAAGAGACTATTTGTAAACTATTGACAACGGATTCTGATAAAGAAAAAGATCACATATTTAGGTAAATAACATGTTTTTATTTGACAAAATACCTATAAATAAGCAAAAAATATGCATGTTTTTAGAAGTTTTAGTAAATGTGATGACAATTTAAAATATATTTTACACTTTTACAAGCATTTTTCAATATCACTGAGAAATGTCTGGATTTTAAATGCTTTTCTTCTCCAGAATTTTTGAAAAATTTTATATATGTGTACTAACAGTAATGAGAATAATTTCTGACTTTAAATAACAGTGAAATTTATTTCTTAAAAAGTCAAAGATTATATTTTTGTTAGTGTTCAAACTAGACTGTATTTTTTTTTTTTAAGATTTTAATTATTTATTTGACAGCAAGAGAGGGAACACAAGCAGGGGGAGTGGGAGAGGGAAAAGCAGGCTTCCCACTGAGCAGGGAGCCCAATGTAGGACTCGATCCCAGGACCCTGGGATCATGACCTGAGCCGAAGACAGATGCTTAATGACTGAGCCACCCAGGTGCCCTACAAACTAGACTGCATCTTGCTTTCTAATTCTTTTTAGCAGATTTCTGATTTTATAAGCTAAAATTAAAAATACATTGTTTGCTGAACACAGTTCAGTACATGGCCACAAAATTATTCTCTGCTTACCCACATTTAAAATTATTAAATCTTTACTTCCTACAGTTAAAGAGATTTTCATGTATAGAGACTTCACAAGGAACATACATATAGGCAACTAATTCTTAGGAAAGATGAGCTACATTTTATTGTCATCATTTTCTCTGTTTACTTAGATCTTCACTCAAGAAACCTTCCTTATTTCTTTGATATACCATAGGTCTAGTGTGTAAATTTGCACCTGTGTTCTATCTATATAGAACATTCATTCTTATTCTTATTCTCTCTCTCTGTATTATAAATATATGTTGATTGTGCATTTATAGTCTCTTCTGAAATTGACATTGCTATAAATATGTATAGTTCATATACAGCATTTGGAGATCTGGAAATATTTTTACACGGTCTTGGACTTGAACATATGACAGATTTATTAAAGGTAAGATTTTGTGTGAGCCACAGTGAGTTACATATGTATGTTTATTTGTTAACTAAGTATTAATTCATAAGCATGCTGATATAAAAGTGCCAAGTACACTTTCCTCCATAATTTGTAGTAGATCCCATTTTAAACTTAAAAACATTTGAAAAATTTATTATTCTGGAAATTTATATAAATTTGAATCTGGCTGGAATAAACAGTTTTTACTCACTGCCTAAAACTTCATAGAACTCCTCCTTGTACATTTAAGCCCTTAGTTTGTTTTTTACAGTTGCTGATCTTCCCATATAGAATATTAGAAGCATGATTTTCATTCAGGCAAATCTGGTATCAGATTCTTGTTCTAATGATTAACTGAAATGTTACTTAAATCTGTTTTTTCATAAGGATGATAATACCTAGTTTAGGATTGTCATAGAGATTAAATTAGATCATATGCCTAGCATTGTTACAGATACCTCAGATATGTATTATGGCATTTGAATAGATGACAGTTATCAGCCATTTAGCTGATATGAAGCAGTAAAGCACTATTTAAGATAGGCTCTCTTTAGGAATATGCACATTCTGTTTAGGTAGTTCAGAATTGGGCTTCATTGTATAATCTTGAAACTTCTTATTTGAGAAATACTGAGTTACTGATTGTTTAATACACAGTTAGAAATTTAAAATATTCATAAAACATAATTTCTGTCAAATTTTATAAAGCTATCTTTCCCTTTATGTGAGGAAATAAAAGTTGTAATGATTTTCTTTGAATCTGGGAAACTGGCTATGTTTGTACTTTTTTAGGTAATTATACATATTAAGACACTGTACTGTCTACCCAGTAGTAGAGTTCTATACCTGCATATCCTATCCCCTTTTAGAATTGAAAGTTGTTTAGGAGGGTAGTATATAACTGACTAATTTATGATATTTGCCTACTTCCCTTTCTAATGTCTTATTTATATTGAAAGGTTGCATTTTTTTTCTTTTCTACAGGAAAGGGATATAACCTTAAGACACCTTTTGACCATGAGGAAAGATGAATTTACAAAGGTTAGTATCAGTTTCAAAAACTTCAGATATTCTTTCATATTTTAAGAATTCTGGATGCTTTTATTTTCTATTTTAAAAATCCTAGGGGTATAGACTGTAAATGACCTTTTGCTAGGTTTTTTACTAGATACGATTATTTATAACCATATTTAAAATCTTCTGTTATAGTATTAAGTTGCTTTAAGAACATTTAAAGACTTAGAGTTTTTTTTTTCTTCAGATTAATCATGACGTCGCAACTAAAACTGGTGCTTCATTTCTTAATCTGGAATAGTTTTGTAAAACAGGTTACTTAGAAGTAAGAGGTGGCTTTTTGTGTACGTAGGTATGCGTATGTGTCATCCAAATACTGCGTTTTGCTAGGTTCTCAAAAAGATCAAGACCATTATTTTGCCATCTAGTATTATTAAGTAACAATTTGAAAATAAGCTTGGGAAATTTAGAGATACTTTAATAGAATACCTAAAAAGTAATAATCTTCCTCCATGAACACATTGGAAACTTGAAATCTTCAGTGTTACTACAAGTCAAAATAAACATACTACTTAGCTAAATCCAGGAGAGAAAATTTAGTTAACACTAAAGGTAAAGATAAAGGAAAGACATAATCCTTATTTAATCACTGATAATATTTTAAATACTTTGAAGGAAAAATTATTTTACTATGGTGGTTTTGGAAATTTTAATATCTAGTAATTTGCTTTTAGAATCCAATTTTGCAAAAAATTGTCTATAGTTACTATATATCTAAACATCTTAATGATGTAACCTTATCAATCACAATTAAAAGCAAACCATCTATTTTTCAGTGTTTCTTATTTTTCTCAATTGTTTTTTCAAGTTGTGAATTAATCAAGTAGAAAATTTCTTTAGTAATATTGAATATTAAATTACTCAAGTATGACTGTCCTATTGTACCTTAAAATTATTTCTACTTAGAATGGAATTACCAGTAGAGATCAGCAGAGAATTCTGGCTGCTCTTAAAGAACTAGAGGTAGAAGAGATAAAATTTGGAGAATTACCTGAAGTGGCAAAGTTGGAAATCAGGTAAAATTAACATTAATATTGTTTAGAATCAGCTGTTCTTAAAAAAGAACTAAAAAGTTTAATTTTGATAGTTTCTGAGTCTTTTTACTTGATATTGTCATTTTCCCAAGGAAATGGATAGTTCATTTTACAATATATTATGTTCTGAAGTGGGAGGTACTTTACAACATCAATTTTTGTAAAGTCATTTTACCATAAAGCAAAACAGTGCATCTTCTTGTTAACTCACTTAGAAACACTTTTATTTTTTCATTGCATTTTGTTAAATGAACTATATGAGATCCCATGCTTTTTGTAGTATAGCTCTTATTCTCTTTAAATCATTTCAAGTGTCAAGTTGAAAATTAGTGGTAATTTTTTCACTTAGGGCAATAAGAAAGTATTTGCAGTGTAGCTCAGCTCTATTTTCAGCCTTACTCTTTAAGGAATTATGTTGTCAGTATATAAAGTTCGGTTTCAATATTATAAACTTTTCAAGCACTGATTATTAGTAATCTAAAACCTATTTTAAAAATAATTGTATTTGATTTTAGTAATATTTTGTGGGGCAGTAAATTGCTTAACTTTTTAAGTGAAATAAATATAGAATCACAGGAAATTGCAAAGAGATGTACAGGGAAGTCCCATGCATTCTTTACTCAGTTTCACCCAGTATTTTAAAACCAGAAAACTGACATAGGTGATACAATCCACATAGCTTATTTGTAGTTCACCAGTTAAACATGTGTTCATTTGTACGTATATGTATAGCTTTATTCAGTTTTATCATGTGTGTATCTTCATTTAACCACTACCATGAGTATACTTAACATACCATTACTATAAAGCTCTCTCATACTGCTCCCTTATAGCCACACCCATCCCCCAATCCCTAACAACCAATAATTGGTTATCCATCTTGATAATATTACTCACAGATGTTACCTAAATGGAATCATACAGTATGTATCCTTTTTGATTGGCTTTTTTCACTCATCCTAATTCCCTTGAGTGTCATCCAAGTTCTGTCTTTCTTACAAATGCAGAACTATCAGCACTAATGTATCCTATCTAAAAGTAACATTACAACTATAATAAACATGAATTAAACAAATAAATTATTAATTTCCACAACATTTTAGGATTTAGAGAAGTTTTTCATGGGATAATTTAAATGATCCAGATTTCTCTAAATAGCTTATTGCAAAATTAAATTATTTCTCTTTATCTTTTTCCTTATAACAAGATGATCTGTATTCAAAATAATGCCTCATCACTGTTTCAAAATAACATTATAACTTTTAAATATTTAAACACTTTAAATATTTAAAAGGATTTCAGGTGTGAGAACTTAAAATCAGCAAAACTTCTTGAATCTCTGTTACTTTTTAAAATTTATTTAACTTATTGTCTCTGTGAAGGAATGAATATTCTAAGTTCTACATGACTAAATTGGAAATTAAAATTTTTAATGTAACTTATTTATATGATGGCAGAGTTGTCTGTAAGAATTTACTTTGTGGAATTTAATAGATTTAAAGAATGTGCAGAATCCTGAATGGTTCACTTATTAAAACTGCTGAATTTTTTTTTTAAAAATATAACTGGCAGACATATATTCCAGGAATTTGACCTTGTTATTAAATCACAGACTTTGTTTACATGCTGTTATGAAAAAGGTTTTACTTCCCATTTGTTCAAAGTCATTCTTTAAAGAAGAAATTAGTCATTAAGTCATAAGAAAACTAACAGCAGGAAAAGTTGAACTGATTGATTATAATCTTCTGGTAAGGTGACTTCAACAATCTAGCTACTGATTTATTTTATGATACTTTCCTTCTATGTGTTAAGTTTTCTAAAATAGTCTGTTACAAGAACACATATGCATAGTACATTTACTTTTTTCTACACTTAGCCTTACTAGTTTGCAGAATTAGAGAATTCAGTTTAAAAATAATAACAATTTCATTACTACCTTGAGATGCTTTGAACTGAAACAGTAAGCTTTCATCCATATCTTGACATTTTCAGCAGTTTATGTCCAGACCTTTTATCTGAGCCTACCTGACATTTACTCGAGTATATCAAAGACATCTCAAAACTGTGTCCGTTAAGGAAACTATTTCTCCTCCAAAAAGAAAAAGATACAGAATTTTATGTAAAAATGTATTGTTCACATCTATTATTTATAAACCTTCTAAAATTGGAAACTCTAAATATTTAACATCAGGGGAATGGTTGAATTACATTGCATTAATATATTCTGTTCTGTCCTTCAAATTATTTTAAGACTTAATGTCATGAAAAAATACTCATAGTAAGTATAAAAGGCAAATATAAAATGGAATGAGAGGTATAATGCCAGTTGTATATATGCATATGAAAAATACTGGAAGAAAATGTGTGCTATAAGAAAATACTCTGGAAGAAAATAGCATCAGTCATTATCTTTAGGTGGTAAGAGTAGTGGTAATTTTGGTTTTGATTTTTCCAGATATTTTTATCTTTTATTTGAAGTACCTTTATTTAAGGTATAAATTTTTTCCCAATACTTCACATTTTTAAAACATGGTCTGTTGTTCTAGTTAGTTTACACCATGTCATGCTGCAGTAAGAAATAACTCCTATTACCCCAGAAAGTTCCTTTGTGCCTCTTTTTAATCCATCCCAATTAAAAATAAGATAAAATAAAAATAAAAGCACTACACTTTAAAAAAAAAAGAAATAACTTCTAAATCTAAATGATTTATAATAACAAAATGTATTTCTTGAGCACCTGTATCATGGCTGCACTGAAGTGGATCTCCTTCTTGTTATTATTCTGAGAACAGGCTGGAGAAACAGCCCCACCCTGGACATGTGGCTCCTGTGGCAGGGTAAAGAAAGATACATCCTAACAGGAGGCATATTGTACAGCTCTGGGGTGGGGAGTAGGCAGCCATTCACATAGTATGTGATGAATGCGTACTCTAGAGTTGTGATTTTTACAACATGCCTGTCAATATTCAGTGGCCCTGAAAATTATGCATCACAAGAAAGGTATGTATTTTCCTTTTATTCATTAAGACTGTGTAAATTTATATTCAAGTACCATCTCTGTGAAGCATTACGAATTCTCTATTCCCATTATACTAAGTTCATTATCTCTGAGTTTTAGATGTCTCAGCTATAAGCTAATGTTAACATCTACCCTATGGGAGTTGTTGGGAGGAATTAAAAGAATAATAAATGTAAAATAACTAGTGCAGTGCCTTCATGTAATAGATACTCAAATATTGGTACTTTTATATTCCTTCTTTATATGTCCCTTTGAATAATGAGATTATAATTGTATGTCTGCCTGTCATGCTGAAGCTTGAGATCCTCAAGATTGCAGACTTGTTTTCTTTGTATACCCAATGTCTATTTCATAGCTAATACATATTAGCTATTCTATAAATATTTTTAAAGAATCTAGTAAATATTATGACTAGACACTGAGTAACCCAGTAGAATGAAGTAATTTGCTCATATTAGTGATTCCTATTTGTTTCCTCTCTTTAGTGGTGATGAGTTCCTCAACTTTCTTCTGAAATTAAACAAACAGTGTGGCCATTTAATAACAGCTGTACAGAATATCATTACTGAGTTGCCTGTAAATTCTCACAAGGTATTCTATAAAAGTTGTTAAGAAAAGTATGAGTGCTGAAGAACATTCCAGATAAGTTGATAATTCTCTAAACAGTGATCTGGTAAAATTGTATCTTTCATCTATAAAATCACATAAAATGTAAATAACTCAATATGTTTAATTATTACTCCTTTATATACTAATTATTTGAAAAACTGTTCTAGCTTAGGAAAAGGAAAATGAGTCAGGCCAAAAATTATACTGATCTGTGTACTGAACTTAACATTTGTTCTTAAAGGGAATATAGTTGTTTAAAATATAAAGTGACAGGAGACCCAAGTGAAAGTTGAAACAAAACAATGTGTTGAGTGTTATTAAAAACCATATCAGTATAAGGTTTTTTAATGAAGGAAAAGTTAAAGTGTAAGTGACCTGTAAAAGCAAACTTTTTTGTAGAGTTTTTCATTTGATTTGGTTTTAGCTATTTGTTTATCGTGAAAAAATCTTAATGCATTTGTTTTCCTCTGATTTTTATATAACTCTAATATAGGAGTTGTATCATTCTTAAAACCTTCATGAATTTATTTGTTCACCATAAATTTTATTATTACTAAATGTTAGTCTCCATAAAGTCATACATACATATATTTAGTAAATGTATTCAGGAAACTGATGTGACTAATCACTAACTTCTTTTTGGTGTCAGAATTTATCCTGAACAAAAAATGCTTTTCAGTTACATAATTTAATGGGTGAGAACACTGTATAATTTTTGTAGATACAAAGTTGTAAAAAGTCGTTTCCCGTTCTTTAAAATGTAACTTTTGAAAATATTCACAGATAGTACTAGAATGGGCTTCTCCCCGGAATTTTACTTCAGTTTGTGAAGAACTGGTTAGTAATGTTGAAGATTTGAGTGAAGAGGTCTGCAAACTAAAAGACTTAATTCAGAAGGTATTTATTTAATATTAAAAAGGGGGGAAATGATGTACAAATAACATGTCAGACAGTGAAGCAGTTCTGACAAGAGCAACTTAAGCTCCCACCAGACAAGTGGAAAAAGGAAGGAAGGAAGGAATAAATATAAGAAACAAACTTTGTGGGTCATTATAGGAATGCAGACTAAAAGAACAAGATCTATCATTTTCATCTTTTAAATTAGCAAGGTAGAATGATCATCCTACCCATTATTGGTTATTCACCAAGCTGTTTTCATGTGAGACTGGTATCACATCCCCTTTTAGAAACAGTTGGGCAAGATGTGCCAAAGACCATAAAAATATTTGTATCTTTCAGTAGTTTAATGATTCCAAAATTTTATGTGCCATAATGTCCTATGCCAGGAGAATGATTTAATGAATTATGGTACACCCATTTGTTACAATGATATGCAGCCAAAAAAAATAATGAAAATCAAGTATCAACTTGTTAAAGGTATGAAGTTATGTTTGTAAAATTTATTTACATGTAAATATGCAGATGGGAAATTATGAAAATGACATGTTTATCAGTTCTGTTGATGAGATAGATTTTTAGAAGAAATATTCTATTTTCTAGACTTTCTTAAAGAGTATGGGATTTTTTGATGTTGTTTCTATATTCATATAGAACTATATATCTGGATTTAAGGACAGATGATTTTCCCCCCTTTAAGAAAATTGGCTATAACAAGATCCAAGTTACTGAAATAGGGAACTGTGCTGAAGATAGGTAATAAAGGAAAACACTTTCATTTGACTCAAGAACTCACTTCTGAGTTCTCCTAGTCTATTTAATAAATATCTTTGGTATCTATAATATTTTTATGAAATAGCTGCAGTAAATGTTAGATTATACATTAAATTTGTATAGCTTTAACCAATAAGTCATTTGATATTTTCATTAATATTTTATCAAAAAAAGTTCTCAGAATCACCTTTATACATGTTCCGGGTAATTTGTCATCCTAGCTATGAACATGTGTTCAATTAAAAGGAGTCTTTTTAAAAAGTAAGCAGAAAATTACGAAGCAAATTTTATAAAATAATAGGGGAATAAATTTTAAATGGGGCAAATGAGCAGTATATCTGAGAATTCCTGTAGAAGATACCTCCTTTCTAGAGAAAGAGGCATCTTAGAAGTTGTATTATCTCTGACATTTATTCATTCACAGGCATAAGAGGCCTGCTGTATGTCAGACAACTGTGCTACCCATTAATCTCCTAACTATGCTCCTTCCACTTTTGTGTTCCTTTAATCCACACCACTCCTCAAACTTTCTTGTACGAAAATCTGATTTTCTACTTTCTGAACTTGTTGACAACATGAGAATTACAGCACCACTCATCTTCACTACCTTCCATCATCTTGAATAAGTGAAGGAAAATGGTATTGATTTTACTTAGCATGATATTTTTCATGAAGATCCAGGGGAAATTTGGAAGGACTATGTAAAGATACTTCCTGCAAAGTATCATCCTTTAATGTTTAGTGTAGGAAATTCCCCAAGACAGCTTTTCCTCAGGATTGTTAATTATTCGGTTTCTCCAAGATGAACTAAAAACATTTGGGGCGGTGGGGTGGGGGAAGAGAGGAGAAGACCGAGGTGAAATCAGAGCGACAGGACAGGTTTTTCCTAAAGGAATGAAATTAAGAAGCACTACTCTAGGGGTGACTTTGACTCTGAAACATAAATAATTCAGTCAGGTACCATGATATTTATTTTAATAATGCATACCTATAAGGAGAAATTTTAGCTTTCTTTAGCTAACGTAAAGTCTTTTTTCTGTGGCCTTCTCTACCTTGAATTTATACATTTCTATATAAGAACTAGCCTTGAAAATACATTTATTGGTTTATAATAATGGCAGAAACAGTTCTTTGGTCAGGAAAGTCTTAATTTTTACGCAAGCTGTTACATTGGTTTTTCTGGATTAGTGTAAAGTAGTAATCACCATAATGAGATTTGATTTAGAGAACTGCGAAGGCTTCCAGATTTGGGAGTATGCTATTATGCCTGCTAAGCTTATGATACTTCAGTTTACCAGTAATAACTGAAGCAAATAAAAAAAAATATGAGTTACCATAGATAAGTGTATGGAGGTAACAAAGAGAGAGGGTAGGAGAGGTCAAGGCTAGACTTTAACACCACATCACTCTCTTTCAAAGCAACACACTGACAGGCTCCTGTCAGAAAGGGTCATTCTAAGTAATTGGTTAATAAAAGGAATGGCTGTCTCAGGATTCAATAAATGGAGCATCAGTGTCAAAAAGGAATCTGTTACTGAATGAAGCCATTTGGAAGTTAGGCCAAGAATACGGTATTAATGAGATTGGCACTGAAGTCTGTTTTCTGCTGTAAATTTAAAATTAATTTTGCAGGCTTTTTAAATTAAATATTTACCCTGTAGATTTTAGATGCAGTTATTCTTGCTAATGTTGAAAATATTTATGTCACCACTCCAGCCCAGGATGTTTCTAGTATATATCACTCTATAAATGTGCCTGATTCTTTTTATCTTTTGAAGATCTTTTGGCTTCTGCTCATTCTCCCTCTTCTGCCCCTCCCCCATCAACTGTCTCTCTCCCCTTCTCTCTCTCTCTCATACACATACACACGTGGTTGGGTTCCTTCTTTAGCAATGGAGTTCTGTATATGAGTATTTAGAAACTGACTGGGCCATGTACTTTATTGCTGAGAAGTCCTAGAAGAACCACTTAAGTTTTTGTTAGTATTTGTTCCTACAATTATATTTAAATAAAGGATTAAACTTCTAGCAGTAGAATCAAATCTTCTAGTTTTTGTTAAATTTTATGTATTGTAGGTGTACTATAAAAATGGTTCACTTTTTTGTAAGAAATCATTTGATGTTTAAATATAGAAGGAAAAATAACAACTGTCATTGCTTGTAAGGTAAAAATAGAAACATTCAAGGAACTTTATCTCCTGATACATTCACATTCAAGGACCTTTATCTCCTGATACAAAAACATGATTTTAAAATGTAATAATCTATGAAAGCATTTATTCTTAATGTGAAACTAATTTACCATGATAGGATCCTGGGGGGAAAAAAACTCTTTTAAGACATATGTGTTCACTTTAAATCTTCCATGGAAATCTTGCATTGGCTGCCTCTACATCAACTGAATTAACATGGATATTATATTTTTAAAAATCAAAGATATTTTCAGTGTACATTAACTCTTTTCATTTTCTCATACTAAATATTAGTTGCAAAATGAGCGAGAAAATGATCCAACTCATATACCATTAATGGAAGAAGTATCTACGTGGAATAGTAGAATTTTGAAGAGGACGGCTATTACAGTATGCGGATTTGGGTTTCTTCTTCTTGTTTGCAAGCTAAGCTTCCAGAGAAAATAACCCTAATATTTGTTTTTGAATAATGTATGTATAATTCAAATTACCTACAAATGTTGCTTTTAACTATTTGTGGCACAGTATAACTACATTATTTGCTGATACTCCATGAGAGAAATTCTGAGAGCATAGAGCAGAAAGTTTCTTTAGAAAATGGTTTGTTGGTTTGAGTTGAAAACATAATTTGTTATATTGTTATGTTAATTTTGATCAAGCAGTAAATTATAAGTGATTCTTAAGTTTGATTCTGTGATTCTAAATCACATTCAAAATAAAAGTTTTAGGGGCGCCTGGGTGGCTCAGTCAGTTAAGCGGCTGCCTTCAGCTCGGGTCATGATCCTGAGGTCCTGGGATCGAGCCCCACGTCCAGCTCCCTGCTCGGCGGAGAGCCTGCTTCTCCCTCTCCCTCTGCCTGCCGCTCTGCCTACTTGTGTTCTCTTTCTGTCAAATAAATAAATAAAATCTTTAAAAAAAAATAAAAGTTTTATCTAATATTCTTTGACATTTAAAACCAGTGTGTTCCTGACTCTAACTATAGAGAACAAACTGGTGGCTACCAGAGGGGAGGTGGGTGGGAGTTGGGGGAAATAGGTGATGGGGCTTAAAGAGGGCACTTTATCATGATGAAAAGAATAAAATAATTTTTAAAAAAACTTCCTTTGTCACAGTGAATCTTACAGAATTTGTAAAGTGTTCATAAGTCAGTACCCTTTTAGTCCGTATTTTTTCCCTTCTGTAATTATAAGGAATTTCTTATTTAATTTTTTTTTGTTATATAGCATTAGGAAATTAATTTTGAAACTGTTTCAGAGAATGCAAAGCATAAAGATAAAATGTAAAATTTTTGAATTATGGATTAAAAACCTAGGGAAATATTTAAAATGGAAATTTAAAAAGAAAATTTAGACAATAGTATAGAAAGCACAGAAGTACCTTAAAATTTTTTATGTAATGCACCTAGGGGAACTATGACATGTACCATGTGTAACATTCTTAAAGATGTTATGAAAGTGAGTGGCATGTGGCAAATAATTTCTCATATCAATCTAAAGAAGTAATACATGATTTTGGTTTTTGTTTTTTTTTTAAAGATTTATTTATTTGAGAGAGAGAGAATGAGAGACAGCATGAGAGGGAGGAGAATCCGAGGGAGCAGCAGACTCCCCGCCGAGCAGGGAGCCCGATGCGGGACTCGATCCCGGGACTCCAGGATCATGACCTGAGCCGAAGGCAGTCGCCCAACCGACGGAGCCACCCAGGCACCCGCTTTTGGTTTTTTTTTCAAAATCAAAATGATATTCAGATTTTAAAAGTAAAGGTAAAAAAGGGGAGGCCCAATTTCACAGGACTGTAATAATTAAATCTTGCTCCACTTACTCCCGTACTTCGATGCAGTTGATCTACAACTGTTGAAAGGTAAACTTCAAGCAAAAGGAAGAAATTGTAGAAGACAAGGATCGCACAAGGAGCTGTCATTAGTGGCAGCGTCTGCTCTTGGTTATACCAAAGCAGCAAGACTTGCGTCATTCCTTTTCTGAGAATGTACTCAACCATATATCACTGGAAGGGACCGGTGTCTGACATTTTATCCTAAGTGCCATAGCAAAACTTTTTTCTGTTATCCTTCAATATAAAAGGGCTCAAGACTTAGAACCAAACTAGAATAGGATAGGAGAAAAGGTCCTTCTTCTAACACACATCACGTTTCACTCGACCAAGGAAAACAGAAGGTGTTCAATAAATGTTAGTTTTCTTAAAGAAAACAGACATACTACCTGATTATTTAACAGAAGTCTTTCACCTCAGTTCATCTTACAGATGATCGTATTTCATCTATTGGCTGAATAAGTCAGTTTTTTTTCCTCTAATCAAACCAAACTTTATGCATCTCCCAAATACGAGGATGAACTATGAAAACGCAAATTGATAAAATACTTGTTTTCCAAAGAGATTACTGAATTCCTTAAAATAATGATCTGCCCCAGTGTACTTCAAGCATAATTAGCCATTCAAGGGAAATACCGTAAAGTCCATTTTATCTGCATATTCTGAGTATATTTTTAATTCCTTGACAAATACAGTATGGTTTTCAGATTACAGATTGAAAATAAATAGGGCAACATTTGTTGTGATTAAATTGTTTCTTCAGGGGTACCCAGGTGGCTCAGCCAGTTAAGCATTTACCTTCGGCTCAGGTCATGATCCCAGGGTCCTGGGATTGAATGAGTCCCCGCATCAGGCTCCCTGCTCAGCAGGGTCTGCTTCTCCCTCTGCCTCTCCCCCTGCTCATGGTTTCTTTCTCTCAAATAAATAAAATCTTTAAAAAAAATTGTTTCTTCATGCATAACAAAATAAGATTTTCCTCGTCATTTAAAAAATGGTAATTTTATCTAGAGTATAAGTCTCTTCCTCCTGTGTTTGATTTGATTACAGTGCTTTACCACAAGAGGGTTGTTATCTTCTGGTATATTCATTCTTTTATAAGATTGTACAAATCATTTTTCTTCTCTTAAAACAAGTTCCACAGTGACCCCTCTAAAACCACACAGATAGAAATATAAACCAAGTGTTAATTCTATGCAGTTGAAAGTAGAAAAACTTTATTTTTTTAATTAACTGGCATTTAATTTTTAATAAGTTGGGATCAGAAATGTTCCTATATCTTATAATCAACTTTGGAACCCAAATAATACATTTTAAGCATCTCTTTCAAAGAAAGATAAGCATGCATACTTGCTGCTCTCCTTAAGTGGGGGGCTTAGTGCCACCTGGCAACTCTATTCCATTTCCCCAGTACATTTACCAGCTTTTTCACTGGTGAACTATTTTAAGATTCTTTGTCCTCAAACTTCTAAGACCTCCTCCTCATCTCACTCTTAAATGATGGCCTTGCTTCTTACTGGCCTTGGGAGTAGAATCAGTTAAAGAACTTCCACACTGAGTTTCCAGTAGTTAAGAAGTCAGCAGATTGGGGCACCTGGGTGGCTCAGTCGTTAAGCGTCTGCCTTCAGCTCACGTCATGATCGCAGGGTCCTGGGATTGGGCCCCGCATCGGGCTCTCTGCTCCGCTGGAAGTCTGTTCCTGTTTCTCCCTCTCCTTCTCCCCCTGCTTGTGATCCTGCTCTCACTGTGTCTCTCTCTGTCAAACAAATAAATAAAATCTTAAAAAAAAAAAAATCAGATTTTCTTGTAAAGGGCCAGATAGTATTTTAGGTTTTACAGGCCATGCGGTCTGTGTCACAACTTCTTGACACAGCTATTGTAATGCAGAAGCACCTGTAGACAGTACATAAATGAATAGATGTGAGTGTGATATGATAAAGTTTTATTTACAAAATCAGGTGGTTGCCCAGATTTAGTCCCCTAACCTGTAGTTCACGAGCCTAGTCAAAGGTCACAGAGTTACAACTAGGAGTTATTTTAATTTTTATGCAGTCGGACAGCCTCTGCCTTTTGATTGTTTAATCCACTCATATTCACTGTTACTATTGGTATATATTATTGGTGTATTGAACAGAAATACCCATTTTTTGTTTTCTGTATGACCCGTAGAAAACCTCTTTAATGATTTTTTTCACCATATTTTTGAGTTATTTTCTTCATGGTTGCTCTAGGGCTTACCACATACACATCTTAACTTATAAGAATCTCTTGAGACTTATAACTAAATTTCAGGGCCCTTTTTAACTGTCTCCCTTTCTGATTTTTCTGATAGGCTGTCGGCCACATTTGGTATTACACCAAACCGTCAGGTTCCACTAATTACTGGTTGATTGCTCTACTGTTTAGTGCATGCCCTGAGGCATGAAGTGCCCAGCAGTCTAACAGAATTCAATTTGGACAGGGGTAGTTTTTGAAGTCAGATTTTGAGGTTTATCCTGACCAGGGGAGGACCCTTCTTAGCTGTCTCTTTCCCTGGTTCTCCCCGGTGAACTAGGCGGCCTACAGTTTAGCTTGTTGCTCGTAATTAAAAAGAGCTCTTGTCTTTGAGGATGACCTTAGGCTTGATTTTCTCCACATTCTCTTTCAAATAAAGTCAGTTCCTCTGGGGAGAAGTTTCAAGCTCTCCTCTCTTACAGACTGATTCTCCCCCTGGGCAACGTCTCTGAGCCACTTTCGTGCTGGGTAGGGCAGTAGCCTCTGGTCTTCTGGGCTGATTCTCACAAGTCTGCCCTGTAAGTGAGCTGGCATGAGAGAGATCAGGGCCCCAGTATTCTGGCCTGTAATTTCCAGGATACAGTCATTATCCTGTGGGACTCAGTGGAAGAAGAAAGCCCTCCACTCTTATCAGCTACCCACCAGAATTTGGCCACTTAAGCTCAGAGTTGGGGGTGGGGGGGGGCGCATGAGAAATGCTGGCGGCTTGTCCTTCAGATGAGATATGGTAACCCTTATTTGGTGGCTTCGGAGAGAGGCGGCCCGTCTTCTTGGCCACAGTCCTCCCAGAGGGGAGCTTCTGCCAAGCTGAGCTGATCTGAGGCTGCAAGGGGCAGGTGGTGAGGGAGAGAATAGATTATGATTTAATATTCTTACCAAGGTTTAGTAGATTTCCTTGAGTAAATGTTTCTTCATTGGTTCTGAGCCCTTAGGACTCTTTCCAGAGACTTTAAATAAAGGTTTTATTTTTATAGCTTTCTCCAGCTTTGCTTGTTTCTCTGGGGAGTAATACCATGCTGCTCCTCACACCTCCATCCTGGCAGAGGAACTCCTTCACCATTATTTCTAGGGTATCTGCTATGCGCTTAGCATAGTGCGTGGCCCAGAGGAGTGTACGAGACTTTTTTTGAAGCCAGAAACATTAGCTAAATACTTCTCACGTTAGCTTTATCCAGTTCGAGGTTAATATAGGATGCTGAAAAGTCTCAGAGCACCTAAAGTCTACTGGAAACAAGGGAAAGACCCACCTAGGTTTGACTAGGGTACATTAGAGCTAGATAAATGATGGGTAAAGCAAGGCTACACTCTCAATTTTGAAAACTTTCCTGTGGGAGGTATTTCAGCTAATACCTAACTTAAATTCATTGTATTCAGTAAATATAGAAAACAGGATATTTAAAAGTCTAAAAGGGTATCACTAAGAAATTAAGCCAGCTACAGTTTCAAGCACCAGAAGCATTGAGTTTTGGTTTCCTTTATGGGATGATTTTATAGTGAAACATTTTTTGATCTTAACACTATGTGAAAGTTAATCTTTAAGAACACAGATAGCCATGATGACTTCTGTTTTGCACTCCAAGTCACTCTGTCACTGCTTAATAAATAATCATTTGTAGCTCTG